TGTATGTATGTATGTATGTATGTATGTATGTATGTATGTATGTATGTATTTTTCTAAAGGGAGACTTTTCTGCAGAACGGTGGCCCTTTTGGCCAGTGCCGCGGCGCCGCAGCTGCATGGAAAGCACGGTCAGAAGAAATCGACTTCATAGTCTTGCTCTGGGCTGCTTTCGGAGTTCTCATCTTCTTGCATCCCATCTGGGTGTGCGTCGAGCCAGCTGGTCGGTGCCGGGTGTGAGCGCTGCCTTTTGGCTTCCGATGACTGTGTCTCGTGAGCTGGCGGCATTTGGTTTGCCTGTTGGGCTGATGGCTGGGTGTCATGGCCTGGAGCCCATGGCATTGTCCCAAGTGGGAAAATTTGTGACAGAGCCTCGTCGCGCGGTGGTGTGGCGGCAGCATGGTAGTTGAGCTGTCGTGGCACTAAAGGTGCAGTGCTTTCTGCTTGGCCAGTGCTTGGCTGGATGGCCTGGTGCAGTTGAGGTGCACTTCCTTCCTGCTGTTGTGTGGGGTCAGTGACATCATCCCTGCAGGGAGAGTGGTGACCGGTTTCTTGGCTATCGGACTGTTGGCTCGTCCGTGCCTTTTGCCTCCTGAAAAGTTCTGTGATGGGCTGTGAAGTGGTGGTTGGAACCCCTTTGCATGGCTTCTTTAAAGCTGCAGTGAGGATCGGCCTTTGCTGTGCATCAAGCTGGGTATGTGTGCCGCAACCTTGACAGTTCAGCTTGTCCCCTTTCTGCCAAAGGGTGTGACTTTTGTGGCCCTGGTGGCCTGGGGTGTACAGCTGGTTGATGCACTGGCCCTTGACAAAGTCATTGAAAGCTGCCTCATTGGTGCGTTTGTGGACGTTGAGTCCGCATGACAGGCATCGGAGGTAGCCTTTCGTTTCCTCAAGGTGGTGTTGGCTCTCTGACTGGTGTGCAGCTTGCTTGTCCAGCAGGTTGGCAATGAGCTGAGCCCTGGTGACCTTCTTTTGGATGGGTTCATGTGGGCTGTGCATCACTGGATGTTCTTCCTCAAGGACAAGCTGTGGACACTGTTGGGTCAGCTTGTCTTCAATGATGGTGGCCGTGAGGCCTTGGTGGACCCTCTCTCCACAGGCACTGCATTGGTAGCCGCTGCGATGCGGTTGCCACCTGTGAAATGGTGCTGGCCAGGGTTTGCGGCGTTGCTGAACAAGTTGCTTCTTGTGTTGCTTCGTTTGATGTGCCTGATGTCTGGATGGCTTTTGGTGGAGATAGTGGTTCTTGTCTGCATACACGGCTGCCAGGCGTGCAGCAGCATGGCGGTAGATCTCCTCATGGTCCTGGTCAAGGACTGCCTGCCATTCGAGGGCCTTGTGGTTCTTGAATGCGCTTGCTCGTTCCCAAGCGGTCAGAGCTGCGTCCCTCTGTCGCCTTTGCAGGTGTGGC